CTGGGGAATTCTGGGAGTTGGAGTCCACCCATCGGAAACCTGCCAGGGTTGAGAAACACTGTCCTAGAGATTGCAACGTTCTGTGTTTTGGAAAAAACGGTGGTTTTCTGAAGACCTTTGAAAGGCGCTTAGCTGATGACAGTTTTCTTCCTTCACCTCCAGCTGCTTGCGTCTTGGGGAACCTTTCCCTTTACGTCTCCCTTTTCCCATTCCCCAAAACGTCCTTCTGGAACAGGGGTGGTGAATTCCGCTTGCCTTCCCCCTTCTACCCCGCCAAAGCAGACAAGGGCGCTGTTTCATCCCCCAGAAGATCCTAATCCTTGGCACGCTCTCCCCACCGCAGGTGAACGACGATGCCCCCGGGATGCAGGCGCGGGAGAAACCAGAGCCCAGGTTTTGTTCCCCTGCCGGCTCTACAGAGTCTCTCGTGGACAGTTGATCTCCCTCGATCTCCAGTCTCTAAATCCCCAGGGCCTTTCGATTCTCATTTTACCTACATTAGTATTAGACAACAAGGACGGTTCTGGGTCCCTAAACGTTGCTAGGTTTGGTTATACTGTGCACAAACTCCACCCACCTGTGAGTTGCCTCTGTTAGCGCATACCCCATGTTTGGCTCCTTCCTTTCTCCAGCTATGATCGTAATAAAGTCTTTTCAGTCGTTCATTCATTCTCTGAAGCAGGTTTATCAGCCATGGCCTCCTTCAGATGTGTGGTACTCCAATGCCCATCATTCCCAAATGCAACCTCTGAATGGGGTGACGGGAGCTTGTCCAATATTGGATGGGGGACCAAATGCCATGTTGCGCTGATGCCTGACAGATAGCGATTAACCGTCAATTGTGTGGAAATGTAGACCTGTGTTGTTGGCAGAGAGGATCTTGTTTCCCATATTTCCCACAAACCTCCCTCCAATTTTTATAGGTTCTGTTTTGACACTCTCTCGTTTTCTTCTTCCACGCAATGTCCAGTTATAGTGGCTGTAACAGCTGTTCAGTTGCAGCAGACAGCTGTTGTCAATGCTGAAGGTCCTTCCCTGAGTATTGGTTCATTACAGGTGTTAGATCAGGGTTTTTCAGACTTGGCAACTTGAAGAGGTGTGGGTTGCAGGCATGCTGGCTGAGGAATTCTGGGAGCTGGAGTCCCCACCTCTCAAAGTCCATGCTGGCTGGGGAATTCTGGGAGCTGAAGTCCCCACCTTTTCAAGCTGCCAAGGTTGAGAAGCACTGGGCTACTGGATCAGACAGGACGTGTTAGTCCTGCTCCAGGTCTTCTGAAGTGGTCAACTACGTGCCTACAAGCAGGATGTGGTGGGGCCAGGTCCAAACTGGCCAGTCTTTCTCCTTTGTGGTGGAGAAATTACATCTCCTAGAGCTGAGCTTCCCTCCTTCCCTTTTTGCTTTTCAATGCAGCCCATTTATTGAGGCAGGTGGGAAAGCAAGTGGTGTCCATTGTTATGAAGCACCTGTAAAGTCTCCTCTTTTGTAAAAAGGGCAGCCCGTCTTTAGAGAGGATTAACTACATCCCCCCCTCAAACTCCCCGGAGGCTTTTTGACCCTCCATACCTGTGGAAGAGGCTTTGGACCTTGACCAAAAGTGCTGGATTAGAGATTGTTCAACCATGGAAACCTTCTGGGTGACTTTGGGGTCGTCCCTGCTTCTCAGCTCAACCTCCTTCGCGGAAGGTGGAAGATGTTGGAGGGGGAGAGCTTTGTATATCGGCTTGAGCTTTGAAGAGAAAGCGGGAGACGCATCTAAGAAATGCCCCTCATTCCCTTCCGGGGCTTAGAACAAAGTTCTTTCAAGCTTTCAGATTTCAACTTTCTCCCAGTCTCAGCTGGGAGAGGAAGAGGCTCATGTTGCTTCAGCCCAGGAAGTGAACGTTGCCTTCCATTCCAGAGTTTAGGGGTCTTACCTCCTGCTGGGGGCCCTTTTGGAGGGCAATCCC